CAGGAGAGCAGCCTTCCAATATTTGAGGGCGGGGGGTTGGACTAGATGACCTACAAGGTCCCTTCCAACTCATCATCTGATTTGAAGGAACAAAAGGACCAGGGGAGGCAGGAGAGCCGCCTTCCAGTATTTGAGGGCAGAAGGGGGTTGGACTAGATGACCTCCAAGGTCCCTTCCAACTCTGTGAATCTAACTTTCATCTGATTTTAAGGAACAAAAAGACCATTTGAGGGCAGAGGGGGGTTGGACTAGATGACCTACAAGGAAGGCTGCTCTCCTGTCTCCCCTGGTCCTTTTGTTCGTTAAAATCAGATGAACAGAGTTGGAAGGGACCTTGGAGGTCATCTAGTCCAACCCCCACCCGCCCTCAAATATTGGAAGGCTGCTCTCCTGTCTCCCCTGGTCCTTTGGTTCCTTAAAATCAGATGAAAGTCAGATGAACGGAGTTGGAAGGGACCTTGGAGGTCATCTAGTCCAACCCCCTCTGCCCTCAAATACTGGAAGGCTGCTCTCCTGTCTCCCCTGGTCCTTTTGTTCCTTAAAATCAGATTAACAGAGTTGGAAGGGACCTTGTAGGTCATCTAGTCCAACCCCCACCCGCCCTCAAATATTGGAAGGCTGCTCTCCTGCCTCCCCTGGTCCTTTTGTTCCTTAAAATCAGATTATGAGTTGGAAGGGACCTTGTAGGTCATCTAGTCCAACCCCCACCCGCCCTCAAATACTGGAAGGCTGCTCTCCTGTCTCCCCTGGTCCTTTTGTTCCTTCAAATCAGATTAAAGTCAGATTAACAGAGAGACGTCTCCGTGGTCAGGTGGCCAGGAGGACTAAAACACCGAAGGGTGCGCACGCAACGCCGCTCCCTTCCCGCCAAAGGTGGTGCCTATTTCCCGACTTGCATCTTTACACGCCTTTTTTGAGCCTTGGCGGGAGCTGGGACCGGCGAACGGCAGCTCGCGCCGTCACGCGGCGCCGGGGATTCGAACCGCCGAACTGCCGACCTTCCCGATCGATAAGCGCGGCGTCTTAGAAGCCGCCGAGCCACCGCGGTGTCCCCATAGGCGTGGCCTTTACTACGGCTTTCTGGAGGGGTAGGAGTCCCCTCCCTTGATCTGGATTGTAACCCCCTTGTTAATCCAAGTAGTAGTGGCTACCACCGTACGCGACTAGCTCCTATGTAGCTGGTTCTCCACTAACCCTCTGACAATTACTACTAGTAAGCCTCTTTGCAGGATGAATCCCTTGATCTGGATTGTAACCCCCTTGTTAATCCAAGTAGTAGTGGCTGCCACCGCACGCTACTCGCTCCTATGTAGGTGGTTGTCCACTAACCCTCTGACAATTACTACTAGTAAGCCTCTTTG